GGAAGACATTGGGCCATTGGGGATGCGTCCTTGGGGGCTACAGTTTCTACATGCCCCCCCTCTTTTGCTTCTTTTTTTTTTTTTTTACCCTTCCTTCCTGCCTGCCTTTTCTATGTTGTCTGGTGATATAAGGAACACCTTTGCATGGTGTTTGCCTGCCACAAGCCAATTGTTGGCACCAAGCAACTATGGACTTAAACATTCTAAATCAGAGCATAAAATAAATCCATTGCCTGTTATGTTTATCTATGTCTCATATTTTCTTGCAGTGAATGGCTTACACTAACAGTTAACACTTTTGAATGTGGTGAGAACATCTAAGATTTCAACAATACAGAATTATTGACAAATTTTACATGATAGACATTAGATATTCAGAATATAATATTCCTGGACATTAAAATTTTCTATGAATTCCCAGCTCCCCCTCCTTTTTAAACCAAATTCTGACTTCTGCAACCTGCATTCTACTAACTGCTCCTATGGTTTGGAAAAATTTGAGATTCCATATATAGGTCATATCACACAATATGATGTGCTTTGCTTGATTCACTTAGTATAAAACTATGCAAGTTTATGCTTGGAAGATGAAAGGAAAGAAGATTCCTTCCTTTGTAAATTATTCCTTTTAACACACATGTCACATGATCTTTACTATTCCTTTACTGTTAGTATTATAGTGTTGTAAAACACATGAGTGCAAATATATTTTTCAAATATGACAAGTTCTTTTAGGTATATAACCAGTAGTTATTTATTATTGTATTAGTCGGGGTTCTCTAGAGTAATAGAACTTATAGAATTTATAGATTAAATCACTCTATATATCTATATCTATATCTAGATATAGATATAGATATGTGTGTGTGTGTGTGTCCATACATATAAAATAAATTTTACATGTGTGAGTGTGTGACTTACAAGCTATGGTCCAGCTAATCCAACAATAGCTTCCTATGAATGTAGAAGTTCAATAATCTAGTAGTTGCTCAGTCCACAAGACTAAATGTCTCAGCTGATCTTCAGTACATACTGGAATCCCAAAGTAGTAGACACTAAAGCCAGTAAAGAAATGAACTTGCTAGTAAGCCACAGCAAGTAGGCACAAAGCAAGTCTCCTTCTTCCATGTCCATACAAAGGCTTCTGGCAGGAAGTGTGGCCCAGAGTAAAGGTAGATTTTTCCAGCTTAAAAGATCTAGACTAAAGGTGTATCTTCCTACCTCACAAGATTCAGATTTTAAGTTGATATTCCCAGATAAAATTAAGTAAAACTCCCTCACAGGTGTGTCCTCCATTTTGGGGTTTTAGTTAATTCCAGATATATTCAAGTTGAGAACCAAAAATAGTCATTACACTACCTCACCTTTTAAAAGAACAGCCAGTTTCTTGATGTTTACTCTCTGCTGACTGATGATAAGATTTTTTTTTCATCCATATATCTGCTGTGAGTGTATCTTTTCTGGAGAAATGTCTCTTAAATTTTTTGTCCATTTTTTCGACCAGTTTTTAAATAATATAGTTTGGCTATTGAGTTTCTTACACATTTTTTATTTTGCCATCTTATCTGTACATTTTCTCCCATCCCATAGGTTATCCCTCCACTTTACTTAATTTTGTTTTGCTGGGTAGAAGCATTTTAGTTTAATGCAATCTTATATGCCTTATTTTACTTTGATTGTGTTTTTGAGGCAAAAATACAAAAATCATTGTGCAGGTCAGTATCAGCAAGATTTCTTAGTTTCTTCTACAAGCTTTAGATGTTATGTTTAAGTCTTTAATCTCTAACTTTTATAATTTTTATTTTATATTGTTGTATTATATGTAGATAGTTTACTGAAGACTACTTTCAACATTTTATATGCCTGGAAAGTATTGATAATCACTGAACTGGAAATACAAGATGGTTTGGTGAGTAAAATAATTGTTATGTGAGCCTGATGATCCGAGTTCAATATCCAGAACTCATATAAAGGTGGATAAGAGAGAAACAATTCCACAAAGTTGTTCTCTGACACACTCTCTCCCCACCTTTCTCTCTTTTCACTTCAACTAACGAATAAACACAAAGACAAAACTCTAAAACTTAACTATAAACATACAGATATTTGTCTTAATGTTTCTTTTGGTCTGATGAAACACCATGACTATAAGCAACTTGGGGCTTGACTTACACTTGCCCTATATTTTACATCATACTTCATCATCACAGGAAGTAAGGACATAAACTCAAACTGAGTAGGAACCTAGAGGCCGAAACTGGCACTGATGTCAGGAAGGATTGTTGCTTCTTTTATAGCACCCAAGACCACTATCCTTGGGATGGCACCACATACAATGATTGGTATATTGCTACAGCAATTGTCAATCACGAAAATTCACCACATGTGTGGAAAATACTGCTAAAGTAGGACTGCCAAAAGATAGATGTCACTGAAGGAATCACAGATCTCAGTTTAAATTTAAAATTGAAGGAATCTCAGGTCTCAGTTTAAACTTAAAAATTAACTTCCCCAGGGACACATCCCGGGAGGTGCACATTCCAAAGACTTACACACACATTCCTGGAGAAGGGCCCAAGATAAGAGGTAATCAGGAAGCTGGGCCCTTAGCTTAATAAACCTGGGTAAACAGGAGCTACTTAGCTAGCACTCATAAAGATAACGTGCAAATCTGAGTTACCTAGAAACTGGGCATGGGAGTGGCTCTTTAAGGTCAGCCTTTGTGGTTATTGTCTAAGAGAGGTGATTGTAAAACTGCCCTCGTGAACTCTGTGAAAATTCGTATAAAAACTGCTCTTAGCTCTAGCTCAGGGTTAGCCTGCATGCAGGGAAACCACAGTGCACTGGTTATCAATAAACCTCTTGCTTTTGCATTGAATCCCCTGTCTGTGTTTCTGCAGGAGCACGTCCCCCGGGTTGGATCTTAGGGTCCAACATTACAATGATGCAACCCCAGCCCCAACACTAATGTAACTGTCCATTTTGTCTTGAAAAACATTGTTCCTGAGCTTTAGCACCAATGGAGACTGGAGGTTTTAGCCTATGCTTGGCCTGACCATTATTAAAGGGCTCTTAATAGTCATAGTTGGCCTAAGTAGTACAACTGCTGGTAATTGTCCAGAGTGGATTGTTTCACAATGAAACATCCCAATAAGGAAAGAGTGGGAGGCTCAAGAAGCTGGTGAACTGAACAAAGGTCACATGGGGGAAAAGGATAAAACTTTGAGAATTCATTTGGACCCCTCCCATGGATATGGAAACAGTAAACAGCTACTGGGAGAGATTAACTAGCATGGGTGTCAGGAGGAGATTATCCACCTGTCTGGCTGCTATAGCTCTGGGGATTTTGTATTTATCACCTGCCACCCATGTTAGGCTGCGCTTCAGTGTCAGGGCTGTTTTTGAGTCTTCTGCTCCTGTAAGGAACCACAATAAAAATTCACTGGCTCACTGAGGAGGGGCATATTCACCACAGTCTTGCCCACAATTCAGTCTGGTGCTGGAATTTTCTCAGTCGATGACTTGCTTTCTTTCTTGCTGATTTAAAAACTGTTTTGGGGCCGGGCAGTGGTGGCAAACACCTTTAATTCCAGCACTTGGGAGGCATAGACAGGCAGATTTCTGAGTTCAAACCCAGCCTGGTCTACAGAGTGAGTTCAACAGCCAGGGCTACACAGAGAAACCTTGTCTCAAAAGAACAAAACAAAACAAAAACAAAAACAAAAACTGTTTTTGGTTTCTAAAATTTGATTATGTCAGGTAAAGGTATTTTTATAGTTAATGTAAGCAGGGCTCATGAACCTGAATACTGGTATTCCACTCTTGATATGGTTACCTTTCCAACATTAATTTCTCAAACACTTTCTCACCTTTTCTGGAGAAGAAAAGTCAATAGCCAGATGCAAGAGCTCCGACTACCCTAAATGTAAAGATCTTTACCAAGGAGAGTGCAATAGTTACTCCCTTGTTGTCGCTTCTTTGGAGCAGAAAGTTCCTTAGGTCTTTTATTTCCACCAGTTGGAAGTATACCTGGGTGGGGTTTGCCCTAAAGGTACATCTCCACTTATTACAATGCAGATCACTCATCGGCCTCCCAGCAACTTGAGAATAGTACCACACAGTGAGTGCAGACACCCACCTCAAACAACACATTCCAGACCATCTTTCAGAGACTCTCAGAGACTCGCCTATAGGCTAAGTTGATCTAGACAATACCTCACTTGAATATTCTTCACAGGTGATTCTGACCACGTCTGGTATATAATTAACACTATCACAGCTTCTTTTTGCTAAACTGTTCATCTTTTTTTCCATGTATTGTTTCAGTTTTTTTTTTTAAGTTGTCTATGTTCACCTGTAGATTATTTGAACTTTCAAACAATAGTTTTGAATTCTTTTCCAGGTACATTTTCTATATAGGCTTCTTGAGGGTCAGCTACTGGTGATTATTCTGAAAGCTTGATTGTATGTTTTTCTGATTATTCATGCTTCTCATATTCTTATGTTGGTATCTTCACACTTGAATAAGTGGCCATCTCTCTCAATCTTTAGAGTATTTCAGAAGGGAAAGCTCTTTACTAGTCTGACCAGAGTCTGTGGGTGGTTTATCTGATAATGACCTTACATAGTTGATCACAGGGGTCATCATGATGCCATTATCAACAGGAGGTGGGGTGGGGAGGGGAAGGACCAGTGAGTAAGGGTAGTAAGGAGAAGCCTGAAGCACCCCTGAAGATGTTAAACTTCAGTGGATTTTTAAATACTCACACAGTATAAATTATCACCATTAATAACCAAACAAGATGAAATTCTATGCCCATAAGCAGAACATGACATTTAACCGTTGTAGTGATGTGCACAATATTTTGGTGAGTCCCTTTGATCCAGTGCTCAGTTCAGTATGTTACCTTCCCTTTTTCATTTCAAGAACTAAGCCCCATCACTTGACATTTTTCAGATGAAACTGCAGTCAGTCACTGATGATCAAGGACACGCAGGTGGCCAGGAAATAAAGCTTTATTGTCTTAAGTTGTTAAGATTTGGGGATAATTTGCAAGAATAATGTAGACTGATTTGACTCACACACAACAAAAATCTGATGAGAAATTACTCAGGAAAGGAAAACTTTATTTTTAGCTATTCAGAATCTGCCACTCAGAAATGAATCTGAAAACTAACTGGCCTCCTTAAATAGATCAAGTAAAATGGGCCAACTTCAAGTCAGATGATCTCAAAAAGAAACTTAGAAGAAAGTGACTTCATTGAGACAACAAAGGACACAGTCACTATCAACCATGTGGGCACTGCAGTAGGCTCCCGTCCTGAACTCTGCTCTGTCCAGGAGAGCAAGCTAAGGCTACTCTAACCACTTTGTTGTAGTTTCTTTCTAGAATTCTGTCTGCAATGTCTTTGGTCTGTGATATGAGGTCAGATGGCTTCACTCTTCCTGAAAGTCATCTGTCCTTCAGCTGGAGTATGTCCTGCTGGTGCAGTGGATCCCAGTGCGGCTCCCAGTACTCAACCTGGCTGGTGCCCAATCACCTATAACTTCAGCTTCAGCATATCCAATACCCTCACCTAGCCTTTACATTCACTGTACTCACATGCCCAAAGCCATGCTCAGACACACACACACACACACACACACACACACACACACACACACAAATACAAACTTAAAATGTTCCAATGTCACAGATAAAGTTTCATTAAATTTATGTTACTGTTCATTCAACATTTATGAACTAAACTACAATTAGTTTAAATTTATTTAAAAGGGGGATATATTACTGGAAAATTAGAAGAGAAAATGCAGTACCAATATAGAAAAAGGTTTGAGACTTCTCTACTAGAATTTATTTCCTAACAATGTATTCTGAGAAATTTCTGAATTCTACACATTGTATACTTTTGTTACATATATTTATTTGTACTCAAACATGTAACAACTTTAGGAAGGTTTAAAATAAGCTTTCAGAATTTAGTTATTAACATAGTACCAAGATCTCTCTTCTATACAATCTATTTTAATAGATAAAATACTTACAAACTAGAAATATATACATTCTATGCAAGCATTTTAAATTAATTCTGGTATTTACTAACTTAAGTACTCGAGAACTTGATTTGAAGAATCCAGTAGACTAAAAGTCTGTTTCTCAAGAGAATTGTGGTCTTCTACCAATGCAGAGATTTTGGAATTTCTATATTCTAAGAGTTCATGATCCTTGCTTGATATCAATAATTCATTATCAGCTATCCCAATAGTTGCATCTTCTACCAGGATATTTGCCTGGTATGTCCCAACTGGGATTTCAGGTAACCCAATGTAGTCGTGATCTGCCACTATTGAACCTTGCAGGAGATAAAGACTTTCTGAAAGAGAGAGATCAACATTTCATTTTAGAACTGAAGGGAAACAGAATTTTAGAGTTAAACATTAAGTGAGGTTAAAGCAATAAAAATAAGTTATCAGTATTAACTTGAAAAGCTCTCTTATCACAGTGAGCATTGTAGCACACAATTTTAATCCTAGCACTTGGGAGGCAGAGGCAAACCAATTTCCTACCCTGCACCCCCCAAAAAAACCCAACCCATACATTAAACATAAACATATACAAAAGCAAACAAATTATGTACACATACCCCCCCACACACAAACAATTGTTCACACTTAAAGAACATAGGAACACCAAATACATTGAAATAAAGCTTTCTATTTTTTTTTTATTGCTCTTTGGCGTACATTATCTATATAAGACAAGGAGAGTGAGCAATACAGGTTAAAATTATAGAACTATAATTCTGATTTTGATGATATGCCTAATACGCTTCTACAAAGCACTTCTGTATGAATTAATAAGGCTCCTTTTAGCCAGCTAAATTGCTACACTATATATTTCTAATTTCAGATGCCATCCAATTTGCACAGAATTCATAGTAGTATAATTATATCAATGGGTTATGCTATAAAGCCATAAACTAGATGAAGATAAAGTAGCCAAAATCTGACTCATGTGAGGCCAAAAGGCAAGTTTCAGTGACGCAGCTAAGCTCTTCCTTAGGTTGTATCTTAGGACTAGTCAAGGTCTACCTAGTCTACACTAACAGGAAACTTTTCTTCCAAATATTTTATTATACTTTAGCAAACTCATCATTAACCCTCAGGAAAACAGCTTTAAAATAAGCTGCTAATAACAAAGTAACACACTCCTTCAATATGAAGAATACAACAGACAACATTTCTATGAGATATGATACCCTAATTCATTACAAAAAGGAACTCATCTACCATAACTGATCAATCATCCCTGCATTCTCTTTCTAGGTCTTCCAAACATTAACAGATTCTCTTGAAGATTTTAATAGCTTATAGAATCCTTTAATCTAAGTTTAAGAATAGAAGACCAATTGCCCATTTAGATCAGAGAACAGTGGGAATCGTACCAGTTCTAGTAGCAGGTTTGAGAAAATGACCTTTCTCTAGAAGTTCATATATTTAAAAACTTAAAATTTATAAACGTTAGTGGCTCTTAGAAATCCACACTATAAGTAGGCGGCATGAGTGGGTGTGTGTGGGAGTCTCTGTTAACACTATGGCCAACAGACAAACACTGCAAGAGGCAGGAAGGAACTCTGTTCCAACACACATTAGCCAGAATGGTTCAAACGTCTGTAGTCTGACACAAGGCAGTTTCTTTTAGTCATACTTAAGCACAGCACAATTTTAGAGAAAAAGTTTACTGGCGATAATTAACTCAATCTCATGTGTACAACAAAACCTATAACATGTTTACATTGAAAGTCTTTACAAAGTACATATGGCCTCTTCCATTAAGATGAGTACTATTGACCTCAAAACAACTCTTAAGAGTCTAGGGAGAATTACTAAGGCAGATATAATAGTCCGTTGGAGTCAGGATTGGTCTTGCACTAAAATAACAGAGAAGTTACCTAGACTGTTGTAAAGTACAACTGACATCTCTCATAAGGATGGTTTCTTTATTGAGTGAGAGGCAATGCCCAAGATCTAGGTGATAAAGAATAGTCTGGGGGAATTCAGGTGAGGCCAGGCCCTACAGATAGCAAAACACTATCACGTTATAAACTACATCCATTCCTAGCACTCTGGTTGGAAAACAGGTATGTGAGGCATCAAAACAACCATCTGATTATTTTCAAACATTTACATTATATTCCTCTTGTGGTATATACCCTTTCCATGATAAAACAATTATAATTTGATACTATATTAATATTGCTATAATATTATCAGTAGTGAACTGGATGGGCTCTGGGTCTGGAGAATACATAGGCTACAAGGACAAAGGAACAATTTCTCTGCATACATTGTATTACTAATAATGTGTAGCTCCTGAGTTTCATGTTATAGTGCTTGTTTTGTTAATGAAACTACTAACTGTTATAGTACAATAATAGTCTCCCAAAGTGCCCCCCCATTAATCTCACCAACCTGTGAATATGTTGCTTTACATGGCAAAAAGGAATCTGGGTATTCATAAAATTAAAGCAGCCAATCAATGATCTGGTCTTAAAATTAGGGAGATTATCTTAGAATATTTGGGTCAATCCAAAAACACATGTCCTCAAATGCAGAAGAGGGAGACATTTGGGGCATTGCTGGCTTTGAGAACAGAAGAAAAGGAACCCATCAAGAAGTAAAGGCAGTATCTTGAAGCTAGAAAGAACAAGGAAATCCATTCTCTTCTCTTCTGCATATTCTAGAAACATGACTCTGTCAATGCCGTAATGTAATTTTTGCCTGATAATACTCATGTATAAAGTCTAAAGTACCTACATTTATGGTAATAAGTGAAAGCTGCTTGAAGAACTAGATCTGTTGTAAATTGTTACGGCAGCAATATAAAACTTGCATAATAAAAATTATTTCATAAATGGGCTTTTAATCATGAAGGAGAGAATGAGACGGAAACTTCTGGGTAAGGTAGACCCACATCTACCATTAACAAAGCAAACAAACTTAAAGCTAGAACGTGTTGGGTGGGACAACACCACACTTATCCCTTTTAAAAGAAATTATGATTACAAAGAGACAATAGTATATTTTTGAAATTATTATCAAAATAAGTAGCTTAGAGTGCTCAACATCAAATTAGACAAAACAGCAAACAGGTCTGCTTAAAATAGCATCGACAAACACTGTTAACCTAGTACTATTGAATGTGTTAACAAAGTATTATGTTCCAGAAACAGATGACAGGAACTTGGCAATATAAGTCCACCTGTTTTACACTGTGATTCTAACACTGCCAAGAAATCAACAGTAGCGAACACTAATATGATAGATATAAACAGATACTTAAACTGCTTTTGGATATCGGATGTTTAGACTCATGTCAAATAAAAAATGTTTGATGGTTAAAGATACTGTTTTGATTAAATTCACTTTGTGGACTCTTTAAAGTAAAAGCTTTTAGGAAAATGTATGACACTGCAGGAAAAAGATGGACACACACACACACACACACACACACACACACAAGGATTAAGTATGACCAAAGAACTAGTTTGTAGCATGGTTGATAGAAAATTTTAACTTCAAATGCCTATGTTCACACTACGAATAGGAGCACTACAACTGTCTTGTATTATTGCAAGAAACATTTCCAGAACATTTAAACTTGTGTTCCCAACTTGTTTCTGAAGTACTCAGAAGGAAAATAATTTGACTTCCTTTCTAAATGTCTTTGATAAGAGAAGACTAAAGATGGCTGCACAAGGCCCTGGCGCTGCAATATTTTATAGGCAAGTCTTGTATGACTATAGGTTAACATGTTAGAAGGAAATGTGTTCTGAAGATAAAGGGCTGAGAAGGAGATCTTCCTGAAATTAAAGAACTCACAGAATCCCTTTTTGCCTACTTGGCTTGTAGACGGGAGGGTCTATAAACAGCCCCGAAGTGAGAAGACACAAAGAAATGAATGTACTGTCCTAATAAGGAGATTGAAATTACCCACATGTTCAGAGTTAGAATAGTCTAAGATAAGTCTGTAACTAGACCAATTGGTTCCATCACAAGAAAGAAAAGACCAAGAGCTCTTAAGAAAAGTGCTGGGATACAGACCAGAGTAGAACTCATATACTGAAGAGTCTCAGAAGGGCTTCATATCTCAACACAGGAATAGGGTTAAGCATAGGTCATTCCTTATTGCTTGTTACTATATTATTAAGTAAATTGTTAATGATATTTACAAAAATATTGCATCACCATTAGATGTAGCTTTAATTTGAATATTTGTACAAATATTACTGTCTAGCATATATTCCTTGTTTAAAATGAGCAAAGCACCTTTGGGCTGGAGCAGACACAGAGTTGGTCTGCTCCTGTCCTGTGG